GGCCCAGTTTGCATGCCGTTCAGATGTAGGCACGCGTATAACCCCTTAGGTTGCTTCCGTGTGGTCTGGAGAACCCTGCTTGCGAGTTCTCGGAGGAGGCGGTCAACTCCTTGCTCCAGGACGTCGCAGAGTCCGAGAGCCTGAAGGGGGCGAGGCTCGAGCATGCGATGGCGATCGTCGCTGATGCTGAGGCTAAGCCTGAGGCGGCGGCGGCGGAATATCAGGAGGAAGGCGAAGCCGACTCTGCCGAAAAAAGGAACTTCCAAGACAAAGCCCAAGCCGAAAGCCAAACAAAAAGGAAGGAAGAAGTGCCAGCCTGCCCCAGAGTCATTGGCAGAGATGGAGCCGAACAGCAAGCACGCGATCTCGCTCATCCAGGCCATCGCCGACTACATGAGGACACAGATCGACAGGGCGCACGTCCAGGAAGACAAGATCGTGGCCTTCGTGAACATTGCCATGGCAGGCGTCATCAACGACAAGGTCATTGTCAAGCCGATGCCGAGCATGAATGAGAAGGTCATCAAGGGGTTGAGCAGCTTGAAGAAGATGTTCATGGCTGGTGCGTACATGGAGGTTTCTTGTGGGGTAAGCAAAAGGCAACCGCCCTCAAACCTGGATTTCCAGCCGGCCTTCTTGGGCCTCAGACTGCTGCCGGCTTGGTTTATCCCCCTGGGTCCTTCGCCCTTCAGGACAGATGCGCGGTTGTTTTTTTGTTTTCCCCTGAGGCTGCCCTCCAGCCGAGGCCATCGGATACCGATTTCAATGCCAAGTCGAATCTCCAAGAGATCGTCTCCTGCCTGGATGATCGCGGGCCGCAGCTTACGGCATACGGCGCCACCGAGTTGATCGACGACCTCGCGGCGTGGGCCTTCCATCTTCCTCAGTGTATGACGGAGCGCCCGCCTGGGGTGCCATTGCTCGGGCAGAAAGGGCCAGCGGACAGCATGAATGCAGCGATGATGGCGTGCTTGTCGGCCAGCGACCTCAAGGAGCAGGGGGCGCCTTCCATGCGAAGAAAGACGCGCAGGACTGCGCGACGCAGAACGCCCTCCAACAGGTCGACGCTACGTTACCAGACAGGTTCGACTGGGTCATCGAGCTCATCAGGAGGATCGAGAACAGCAACGATCAGGACATCATCGACGTCGCGTTGAAAAACCAAGTGTCCAGCAGGCTGAAGGAGAGCAACGCGGGTTTCACCTACATCTTTAATCGGAGGCTACAGTTGTTCATTCACATCGCTTCAGGGATCGGGTCCCAGAAGTGCATTATTCGCCAAGGGCCAGTGGCGGCCGATACTGAGTACTTGACTCCGCTTGTGCTCAACGTGTTGAGAGGGTGCTCTGAAGATATCAGCAAGCTGAGCAAGCCAGACATGGAGCACCCCCTGCTGGGCACGCTTGCGCAGGACATCGGCACCGAGAGTTTCAACGAGATCGCGCGTCTGATGATGGACGCGGCCTACGACTTCCACGAGTTCTGCTTGGCCAACGACGGCGTCAAGTTCAGTGCAGAGAAGGAGCAGTTGCTTGCGTGCCTGCAGAGGTCGACCACTGGGAAGGTCAACAAGCTTGCGAAGGAGAAGGTGAAGAGTCCTACCCTGATGGAGGCGGGCGACGACATCTTCGTGGCGAAGCGGGCTGAGAAGGCAGCGCGCGTGGTCAGTGAGTTTGCCGCAGAACGTCCACACCTGGCCCGAGCATTGAGCATACTGACCGACCCGTTCGGCATCCTCGTGACGGACTTGAGGGAGAAGCACATCGTTACGCGCCAGCCTCCCGTCGTGGTCGCAACTACTGCGGCTAAGGTCGACGCGAAGAACCGCCCCGTGCCACTGCTGGCGCACATGACCACCGTGTGCAACGGGGAGCGGCAGACAGAGCCGCCTGAGCCCAAGTACGGTGAGCTGCCCGACGTTGTGCTCAACGAGTTGAAGCAGACTGTGGGCCTCGAGATTGCTCGCCTTCGTACCACCGACGTCGGAGACATCTTCTGCGAGTTCGGGGCGGCTGGGAAGCGGTTCATACTTGAGCAGCTATCTCGGCGTGATACAAAGGACTCGATTGGAAAGGTGTTGAACGTCGAGCTGCCCTACATCGGTAAGGTCATTGACGCCATCAAAGCTGAGAGGACTTCGAAGAACGTGCTCATGGAATTGAAGCCTCTGTTCAGGGAGGGCTACATCGACGGCCCCGAGCACTTCTTGGACGGTTCCAACATGGTGAATCCGAAGCGCTCGACTTTCTGCCCAGCAGTCGCAGTGCCCCTCATCCCGAAGCCGACGACGAGGACAGCTGCTAAGAAAAACGGGATGCTTGCCGAGGGTGAGGAGCCTGATAAGAAAAAGCTGAAGTCGATGCACGGGCTGAAATACACTCCGCACGGCACGCTCCGTGTGGCCTGGAAGGACTTCGAGGTTAAAGTCATGGACGGCTTTACGCAGTTGAAGTTCATGTACAGCAGGCCGTTTCTCACGAACACCGACGACTACGATCCCTCTGTGGCCCGCGGCAAGCCTGTCCATCGGGTCCGTTCAGAGTTTGACGATGTAGAGGTCAAGAAGTTCAAGAAGGACAAGCTCGCCAAGAAATCGTTCGCCCAGCAGTAGACGACATACAATGACCAACCGCCGTCAGCAGCACAGCCCGTGTAATACAGAGGATACAGGCTAGCAGCTCTCTCTGCGGAGAGCGTGGTGCAAAGCAACATCCTCAACATTGCATTCATTTTCTTACTCTTGCTCCCTCCTCCTCCTTATCCTCCTCGTCCGCTTCCGCGCTTCCGCCCCCCTCAATCCGTCCACGGTTATGCAGTATGAATGCTACTCTTCTCTCTCCACTGGCGGTGTTCATGAATGCATGGGCTCAGTTGTGGCGCAAGGAACCTACGAGGACCTAGATAGAAAAACTCAATATACCAACACTCACCGTAACAAAAGCAACCATAGCACGTTAACGCACATCCACGTGATGAGTATGTGTGTGCATGATGCCCACATCGGGCTTATTGTATTTGTGTCAGAAGCCTCACGTGCATGCGCGTCGCTATGCATTACTATTAGTGTTACAGAAAAATAGATATCTAAGGTAGTTGTACTACACGATAGCATTGTCTTGGGGGCTTGCAGAATTCAATTCTTATGATAATCGCACACGCGTTGAACATCATACGACCTATAGGAGAAGCTACGTGAGAAGAAAAGGGCTGGAAGGACAACCAATCGGGTGGAAGGACGTCCTGGGTGCATGCCACATCACGTTGCGAATTTCCCACTCTTTGAGGCCGCTGGGGGGCCTCTTGGGGGTCTCTCGGGTGCCTCTTGGAGGCCTCTTGGGGTTTTGGGGGGCCCTTTTGGGGTTCTCTCGGGAACCCTGGAGGCCCTCTTGGGGCCATCTTGGAGGCTATCGATCAAAAGAGGGGGTTCCTTTGATCTCTGTCCCCAACCTCGGAGGCCACGATCCTCTTGAGGGGTGGCAAAACTGTCCCTCCCAGGGGCCGGCAAAGGACGCTCTAACTCGTCGCGGCCCTTCCCAAACAACCTCAGGGAGGGGAGGGGGAGGGTTCCCCTCGGAGGGAAGACGGGTTGTGGAAGAGGAGAGAGACCCTCCTTAGACCACCTGTCACCCAAAGGGCTGGTGAGATTCTGAACGCCGATGGGCGTTTCAAATTACGAAAACGCGACATTCGGACAGCGGGCGGTCCATATTGGGAAAACATGTCGTTCTGGAAACCGGGCGGCCCAAACAGTGAAAACAAAACATTCAGACGATGGGCGGTCCAAACGGCCCAACAGTGCCCTCGAGACTGCCGGGAAACTGGCGATTCCGTAAGGACAACCTTAATGTAACAATCAATATCCAACAGCGCATGTTCACAAGGATGTGTTTAGCATCTTCCTGACATCTTGTTTGAAGGGCCTCAAGGCAGCTCAAAAGGGCCCGGAGACAGCCTGAGCGTCTCCCAATGCGGCCCAAGAGGGCCCGAAGCCTCCCCAACGATGCGACAAGGGCGAGAGGCAGAGAGAGGACGTAAGAGGAGCAAGAACGGACAAACCAGAGATCTCGCGCCATCACAAGGGACGTGGCGCTTTCCGTCTCCGAGCCAAGCAGGTCTAGTGGTCTTCGGCACGTCCCGCCACCGCGCCTGTGTTGTGTATAGATCAGATGCCTCTTGGCATCCCGTGGAAGGCCTCTCGGAAGCCACTTGGAGGTGGTTCTGGGGGTGTATCGGGGCCTCTTTGGATCCTCGTGGGTCAATATTTGGGCCTCTTGTGGCGCTGTTGTTGGGCCAGGCGGTCTAGAGGATAATCTTGGGGCGAAGTGTTAGTTCGAGTTCCCCTCTTGGCACAGTTTTGGGCCGTTGGGGGGGCCTGTGGTGCGGTCATGGGGCCTTGTTGGGTCTTTGGGGCCGTCGTGGAATTTCGGGAGCCAGAAAATGCGACCACGCTAGAATTCTTCAAAAACCATTGGGGGATCCAAGAGTGTGGCCTCTCGGGGCTCTCTAGCAATGCTTCTTAGAACCCTCTGGGGGCGTCTTGCGGACCTCCGCCATCTTGAGGCAATATTGGGCGTCTTGGAGCCTTCTCGGGCCGTCTCGGAGGCCCCGTCGGCCCATCTTGGGAGCCTCTTGGAGCCCTCTTGACCCGTTCCGGGCTCTTCTTGTGTCCGGAGAAGTCACGCGAGAAAGCGCGGGGAGCCCCAGGAGGCACGCGAGAGCTTCGAGAAGTCTGGCAATTTGGGGTTGGGCCCCCTAGATGCTCGACCTTCAGGAAACCAAGGGGCCTGAGGACACGCCAACTCGTGCCTCGCGACACGGTGGCGAACTGGTCAGCGCGGCCAGTCCAGCAGGGGACCGCTGCTCAACTTCCTCCTGCTCCTCCCCCTCCTGCCCCTCCTCCTCCTCCTCCTCCTCCTCCTCCTCCCACCACCCCTCCTCCTGCCCCCCTCCGTCCAACCCGCCCTTCCTCCCGTATCATTCCGCTTTCTGTACGCGCCCAGGCGTGGCGGAGTTATTGCATAGAAGTCGGAGACGGCACCTACGACCCAGCCCAGTACGACGCCGCGTTTCTGAAGGTTCGGAGCCACCGGAGCGGCAGGGAGGACTGGTATGGAGGCAGGAAGGTAGCCAGAGACAAACTTGTAGCAGTTGGGAGAGAACAAGAGAGTAGGGACGGAGAAGGAATACGATACGAGAGAGTTGCCAACAGGTTCGAACTCTTGCTGCAAATCGCGCCACACACATATCAGAGTGAGGGGGCCGAACGGTCATTCACTGTCCCTGGGTGCGTGGCTGATGTGGAATTCCGCGGTGCGGATTCTTGTTGTTGTTGTTGTTTGTTGTTGTTGTTGTTTGTTGTCGTCGTCCCACCCGCAACCCGCCCCGCGACCCACCCGCGACCCACCCCGCGACCCACCCCGCGACCCACCCGCGACCCACCCGCGACCCACCCGCGACCCACCCCGCGACCCACCCCGCGACCCACCCCGCGACCCACCCCGCGACCCAACCCGCGACCCACCCCGCGACCCCCCCGCGGCCCACCCCGCGACCCACCCGCGACCCACCCGCGACCCACCCGCGACCCACCCGCGACCTACCCCGCGACCCACCCGCGACCCACCTTCGACCCAAACCACGTTCAAGGTACAAACCACCTTCGACCCAAACCACGTTCAAGGTACAAACCATAATTTTCGGCGCCTGCGGCGGGCTTTTTTGCATTCCCTCCAAGTGGAGAGCCCGCGACACATCCCGTGACCAACTCGCGACCAACCCGCGACCCAAACAAACCACGTTCAGGGTCAGAGTGAGGGGGCCGAACGGTCATTCACTGTCCTTGGGTGTGTGGCTGACGTGGAATTCCGCGGTGCGGATTCTTGTTGTTGTTGTTGTTGTTGTTGTTGTTGTTGGTGGTGGTGGTGGTGGTGGTGGTGGTGGTGGTGGTGGTGGTGGTGGTGGTGGTGGTGGTGGTGGTTGTGGTGGTTGTTGTTGTTGTTGTTGTTGTTGTTTGTTGTCGTCGTCCCAACCGCAACCCGCCCCGCGACCCACCCGCGACCCACCCCGCGACCCACCCCGCGACCCACCCGCGACCCACCCGCGACCCACCCGCGACCCACCCCGCGACCCACCCCGCGACCCACCCCGCGACCCACCCCGCGACCCAACCCGCGACCCACCCCGCGACCCCCCCGCGGCCCACCCCGCGACCCACCCGCGACCCACCCGCGACCCACCCGCGACCCACCCGCGACCCAGCCGCGACCGACCCCGCGACCCACCCGCGACCACCTTCGACCCAAACCACGTTCAAGGTACAAACCACAATTTTCGGCGCTTGCGGCGGGCTTTTTTGCATTCCTTCCAAGTGGAGAGCCCGCGACACATCCCGTGACCAACTCGCGACCAACCCGCGACCCAAACCACGTTCAGGGTACAAACCACATTTTTCGGCGCCTGCGGCGGGCATATTTTGCATTCGTTTCAGGTGGAGAGCCCGCGGCCCACCCGCGACCACGTTCAGGGTACAAACCACATTTTCGGCGCCTGCGGCGGGCATCCTTTGCATTCGTTCCCTGTGGAGAACCCGCGGCCCACCCGCGACCCAAACCTCGTTCCGTGTACGAACCAATTTTTTTGGCGCTTGCGGCGGGCTGCTTTTGCATTCCTTCCAGGTGGAGGTGGAGAGCCCGCGACCCACCCGCGACCTAAACCACGTTCACTGAACAAACCAATGCCGCACAAGCGCGGCGGCGGATTCTTGCATGCCGTCTGAGCCCGCAAGGACCTCTTCACGCCCCGCACATCCACGCCAGCCCGTCCAGCAACTTTGCCCTGGCGAGTTGCCTTGATCAGAGAAGGCGGGGAGCATAAAGTGGAAAAAAGGATTGCGTTGCAGTTATCTTGGGAAAGGAGGGGGAGGCAGGATGAGTAAACAGGGGACGAGGAGAACGTGGAAGAAGAGAGGATGTAAGGAGAACGTGGAGAAAGAAAAGGAGGAGGAGCAGGAGGACGAGGGGGAGGAGGGGGAGGAGGGGGAGGAGGAGGACGAGGAGGGGGAGGATGGGGAGGATGATGATGATGATGGACGACAATGGGAGGACGATGATGGAGGCCGATGAGGGGGAGGACGACAATGGGAGGACCATGATAAAAAGACGAGGGGGGGAGAGGGAGGACGAGGAAGAAGAGGAGGAGGAGGACGAGGTGGAGGAGGAGGATGACGATGACGATGAGGACGAGGAAGAGGAGGAGGAGAAGGAGGAGGAAGAGGAGGAGAAGGAGGAGGAGGAGGTGGAGGAGAGCGCCATCGACAAGGAAGGAGGGGGCCACGAGGTCCGCCGGCTCGACGACGCCCGCGTCGCCCGCGCCCGCCCCCTCACTCTTATCCACAATTGCGGGGTGCGGGCGACGCGGGCGTCGTCGAGCCGGCGGACCTCGTGGCCCCCTCCTTCCTTGTCGATGGCGCTCTCCTCCACCTCCTCCTCCTCCTTCTCCTCCTCTTCCTCCTCCTTCTCCTCCTCCTCTTCCTCGTCCTCATCGTCATCGTCATCCTCCTCCTCCACCTCGTCCTCCTCCTCCTCCTCTTCTTCCTCGTCCTCCCTCTCCCCCCCTCGTCTTTTCATCATGGTCCTCCCATTGTCGTCCTCCCCCTCATCGGCCTCCATCATCGTCCTCCCATTGTCGTCCATCATCATCATCCTCCCCATCCTCCCCCTCCTCGTCCTCCTCCTCCCCCTCCTCCCCCTCCTCCCCCTCGTCCTCCTGCTCCTCCTCCTTTTCTTTCTCCACGTTCTCCTTACATCCTCTCTTCTTCCACGTTCTCCTCGTCCCCTGTTTACTCATCCTGCCTCCCCCTCCTTTCCCAAGATAACTGCAACGCAATCCTTTTTTCCACTTTATGCTCCCCGCCTTCTCTGATCAAGGCAACTCGCCAGGGCAAAGTTGCTGGACGGGCTGGCGTGGATGTGCGGGGCGTGAAGAGGTCCTTGCGGGCTCAGACGGCATGCAAGAATCCGCCGCCGCGCTTGTGCGGCATTGGTTTGTTCAGTGAACGTGGTTTAGGTCGCGGGTGGGTCGCGGGCTCTCCACCTCCACCTGGAAGGAATGCAAAAGCAGCCCGCCGCAAGCGCCAAAAAAAATGGTTCGTACACGGAACGAGGTTTGGGTCGCGGGTGGGCCGCGGGTTCTCCACAGGGAACGAATGCAAAGGATGCCCGCCGCAGGCGCCGAAAATGTGGTTTGTACCCTGAACGTGGTCGCGGGTGGGCCGCGGGCTCTCCACCTGAAACGAATGCGAAATATGCCCGCCGCAGGCGCCGAAAAATGTGGTTTGTACCCTGAACGTGGTTTGGGTCGCGGGTTGGTCGCGAGTTGGTCACGGGATGTGTCGCGGCTCTCCACTTGGAAGGAATGCAAAAAAGCCCGCCGCAAGCGCCGAAAATTGTGGTTTGTACCTTGAACGTGGTTTGGGTCGAAGGTGGGTCGCGGGTGGGTCGCGGGGTCGGTCGCGGCTGGGTCGCGGGTGGGTCGCGGGTGGGTCGCGGGTGGGTCGCGGGTGGGTCGCGGGGTGGGCCGCGGGGGGGTCGCGGGGTGGGTCGCGGGTTGGGTCGCGGGGTGGGTCGCGGGGGGCGGTCGCGGGGGTCGCGGTGGGTCGCGGGTTGGGTCGCGGGTGGGTCGCGGGGTGGGTCGTCAACAACAACAACAACAACAACAACAACAACAACAACAACAACAATCATTTTACCCGAACGCGTGGTGTTCTCCCCAGTGCCAGGGTTTTCATACGACACCAGGCAATACCCCCACTTCGTGGGGGGGCATTACAAGCTCTACCAAATATCCAAACGACTCTTCGCGACCACCCAAACCCAGCTTCCCGCCCTATGACGTTGGGACACTTCACTTCGTGGCGTGCGGACGACCGTGGCTACTACACTGGCGTGGGGTACACACCCACAGAACCCAATGGTTTTTGGAGATTTCGGCGTGCGCGCGCGAAGAAAAAACGAATCTGTCCCGCATGGTATTATTTGACAGGGATGATGGCCCTGGCAGGTGCGCAACCGTTGTCGCAGAAGTTCGAAAAAGTTGCTCGCAAAAGCCCGTTTGACAGAAATGTTTAAAAAGTGTTGGGTTTCCTACGAATCCGCAAGAGCGCGCGGGATGAGATTTTGACATTTTTTTGTTGAAAAACCATTGGTTTTTTGATGTTTTTATGTTAAAATCGCTCCGAACACTAAGCTTTTGGAAGGATTTCGTCTTGCGCGCGCGAATGTCCACTTTACCTTATTTTTTACAAGGGATTCTTGAAATTTGATAATATTTGAACAAGAAATTTCATTTTATAGTGTTTTTTGCAAGGGAAAGCGGATTACAACAAAACAACCGGATCTTGATCACCTCGAATTACCTGAGGCTTCCTCACGAAAATGATGAAAACGTGGCTGCGGCCTAGGCGCGGCGGGGGGGGCGCGCACCAGGGGGCCCAACAATAATTATTCTTTAGAATTAATAATGTTCAACAACCACCACCACCACCACCACCACCACCACCACCACCACCACCACCACCACCAACCACCACCACCAACAACAACAACAACAAGAATCCGCACCGCGGAATTCCACGTCAGCCACACACCCAAGGACAGTGAATGACCGTTCGGCCCCCTCACTCTGACCCTGAACGTGGTTTGTTTGGGTCGCGGGTTGGTCGCGAGTTGGTCACGGGATGTGTCGCGGGCTCTCCACTTGGAGGGAATGCAAAAAAGCCCGCCGCAGGCGCCGAAAATTATGGTTTGTACCTTGAACGTGGTTTGGGTCGAAGGTGGGTCGCGGGTGGGTCGCGGGGTAGGTCGCGGGTGGGTCGCGGGTGGGTCGCGGGTGGGTCGCGGGTGGGTCGCGGGTGGGTCGCGGGGTGGGTCGCGGGGTGGGTCGCGGGGTGGGTCGCGGGGTGGGTCGCGGGGTGGGTCGCGGGTGGGTCGCGGGTGGGTCGCGGGTGGGTCGCGGGTGGGTCGCGGGGTGGGTCGCGGGGCGGGTTGCGGGTGGGACGACGACAACAAACAACAACAAAAACAAACAACAACAACAACAACAAAAATCCGCACCGCGGAATTCCACATCAGCCACGCACCCAGGGACAGTGAATGACCGTTCGGCCCCCTCACTCTGATATATGTATATGTATATGTATATGTATATGTATATGTATGTGTATGTCTATGTGTATATGTATATGTATATGTATGTGTATATGTATATGCATATGTATGTGTATATGTATGTGTATGTGTATGTGTATGTGTATATGTATATGTATGTGTATATGTATATGTATATGTATATGTATATGTATATGTATGTATATGTGTATATGTGTATATGTATATATATGTTTATATATATATATACACATATACATATATATATATATATATATATGTGTATATATATGTTTATATATATATATGTATCAGAGTGAGGGAGGGCTGAACCGAACGGTCATTCACTGTCCCTGGGTGCGTGGCTGAAGTGGAATTCCGCGATGCGGATTCTTGCCGTTGTTGTCTTTGTTGTTGTCGTTGTTGTTGTTGTTGTTGTTGTTGTTGCTCTTGTTGTTGTTGTTGTTGAATTTTCATGTATGAAGAATACGTATTGTTGATCCCCCCGTCCAGTGCACATTGCTTTTTTCGATTGAAGTGCCCTTCCCGGGGCTCGCACCCTGTTTTTCTATCAGGGCAAATCTTGAGGGTCAAACTGCGTTGTTGGCCCCCGGTTTACAACAACAACAACAACGGCTCCCGCTTGATATTTCCTCACAATTTATTGAAGAATCGCACTCTCACTTGGGACTTCATTACAATTTACTACCAGATCGCGGCTCCCGCTTGATACTTCTTGCAATTGATCGAAGAATCGCGCTCTCGCTTGGGATTTCCTCGCAACTTACCACCGAATCGCGGCTCCCACCTGATACTTCCTTACAATTTATTCAGATGCCGCTCCTCGACACTCAGGAATCGCTCCCGCTACATATCGCCTGGCAGTTCAAGCAGAATTTTCGCTTCAACGACCAACCCGCTCGACCCGCGCGTCTGGGCCTGCCTGCCCGACCAGCCCGTTAGAGACAGCAGTCGCCGCTCGCTGCCTTTCGCCCGCCTTCGATGCCCCTCGCTGCCCGTACTGGTTCCGCGGTCGCCTTCTCTCGTTGCCCTTCGTGCCCGTTGCTGCCCTCAGTGGCCCCGTCGCTGCCCACTGTGGCCCCGCATTATATGCCCTTCGTGGCCCCCGCTCGCAGTCGCCCGTTGTGGCCCCATACGCATGCCCTTCGTAGCCCCGTTGTCGCCCTTCGTTGCCCTCTCGCTGCCCTTCGTGGGCCCATTGCTGCCCTCAGTGGCCCTGCTGTCGCCCTTTGTGGCCCCATATACGCATGCCCTTCGTGGCCCCCGCTCGTTCGCGCCCGTCGCGGCCCCATATGCATGCCCTTCGTGGCCCCGGTGTCGCCCTTTCGTGGCCCCCTCTCTGCCTTTCGTGGCCCCGTTTCTGCCCTCAGCGGCCCCGTCGCTGCCCTGTGGCTCGTGGCCCCCGCTCGCGGCTCCGTCGAAATCAGTTTCCACGAAATTTGTTCCTGACACCAGTTCGCAGCTGTACGTCCCCCCGTGGGGGTATCCACGATCTGTTTTTTCAAGGGGGTGGTACGTGGCGCTGTTTATGGCGCGACCCATGGCGAAACTTATTGTTAACCTGTGTTGGAGTGGCTGGCGCAAGCCGAGGCGCAAGCTGAATGGCCATTCGCAGCGCAAATCATCGTCCTCCGTTCTTCTTGCCCCGCCCATCCCTTCCTCCGATCTCTTCGTTTTCGTTCTCCCCCGTTATCGGTCGCCCTTCGTTTACGAGGGTTTCACCAACCACGCGTGGTAGGGAATGAATATACCCCCCAAAACGGGATACGGTCGAAGACGAAGAGGGCGGGTATGCAAGGCTTCGGATATGCATATTGAATGACATGCGAGCAGATTATCAGCGAATAGTCTTCAAATGATTGTTGTTGCCGTTATTGTTGTTTTTGTTGTTTGTTGTTTGTTGTTTGTTGTGTGTTGTTTGTTGCTGTCGTCGTCCCACCCGCGACCCGCCCCGCGACCCGCCCGCGACCCACCCCGCGACCCACCCGCGACCCACCCGCGACCCACCCCGCGACCCACCCGCGACCGACCCCGCGATTCACCCGCGACCAAACCGCGACCCACCCGCGATCCATCCCGCGACCCGCCCGCGCCCCACCCCGAGACTCCCCGGCGACCCACCCGCGACCCCCCCCCGCGACCCACCCCGCAACCCACCCGCGTCCCACCCGCGATCCACCCGCGACCCACCCGCGACCCACCCGCGACCCACCCCGCGACCCACCCAAAATTTTTGGCGCGTGCGGCAGGTTTCTATTGCATTCGTTCCAGGTGGAGAACATGCGACCCACCCGCGATCCACCCCGCGACCCGCCCGCGACCCACCCCGCGACGCACCCGCGACCCGCCCGCGACCCACCCCGCGACCCACCCCAAAATTTTCGGCGCCTGCGGCGGGTTTTTTTTGCATTCGTTCCAGGTGGAGAACCTGCGACCCACCCGCGACCCAAACCGCATTCAGTGTACAAATCAAAATTTTCGGCGCCAGCGGCGGGCCGTTTTTGAATCTGTTCCAAATGGAGGTGGAGAGCCCGCGGCCCACCCGCGACCCGAACTACGTTCGCTGAACAAGCTAAAATTTTGGCGCCTGCGGCGGGTTTCTTCTGCGTTCGTTGCAGGTGGCGAAAGTGCGACCCAAACCGCGTCCAGTGTTCAAATCTAATTTTTCGGCGCCAGCGGCGGGCTGTTTTCAAATTCCTTCCAGGTGGAGGTGAAGAGCCCGCGACCCACCCGCGACCCAAAGTACGTTCACTGAACAAGCCAAAGCGGACGAGGAAGAGGATGCGGAGGAGGAGGAGCAGGACGAGGAGGAGGAGGAGGAAGAGGGTGCCATCGACAGGGAAGGTGAGGGCCACGAGGCCCGCCGACTCGACGCCCGCGTCGCCCGCCCCCGCCCTTTCACTCTTATCCGCAATTGCGGGGTGCCACGCGTGTGTACATATATATATATATATATATATATATAATATCATACGCACCTCTCCGAGGGAGTAGAGCTCAGAAACGATTAATGCGTACGCGGGGCGTTCGCGATTGTTCTGGCCGTTTCGCTCGGGACATCCTCGAAATTCTGAAAAGCGGTGGCACCCCTCACGCAGATCGTGACGTCAGGGTCCAAAAACACATGGGAATTTCAACACTCACACATAACAGCTTCAAACACACAGTGTAATTTCAATGATTTTGACCCCGATTCTCAAAAAGGATGGCGATTTCGCCTGAGACATCCTCCCAGGATCGAGCCCCGACGTACCTTCTACCTTCTGGTACCCCAGACCCCGCTTCGGAGCCTTTTGGGAGCCTCCTGGAATCCCCTGGGGCCTCCTGGGGCTTTCTGTACCTTCTGGAACCCCAGACCCCGCCTCGGAGCCTCATGGGGGTCTCCTGGAACCTCCTGCGGCCTCCTGCGGCCTCCTGGAGCCTCTTGGGGCCTCCTGGAGCCTCCTGGGGTCTTCTGGGGCCTCCTGGGGCCTCCTGGGGCTTCATAACTACATGGACGCACAGAGACACAAATCACACCCAACACATCACACGCTAGACAAACATGACACACACACACAACACCTACAACGCACAGAAAACACGCACAACACAGAGCACACATCACACACACAACACTCACAATCCCGGGGCCTCCTGGAGCCTCTTCGGGTATCCAAGTCGGGACTGCTGAGGTTTCTTGGGGGGCCCTGGTACACACATCGCAAGGTGTGGCAACCCCATTTGCGCTCGAGTGCGACCTCGATCTTTGATTCTTCTGCGTTCACCTCCTGCCTCTTCCCCTTCTCTTAGGCACGCCCTGGCGGCGCCGCCCCAGCTTCCCCTTCTCCATCTCCGATCCTGCAGTCATGGTGTCTTCCTGCTTCACACGCCCTTTCAGTTTTTTTTTGTATGAGCCTGGGCACACACGCGCCACTTGTATATAGTTTCTCTTGGGTTTCACAGCTAATTATTCGATACCTCATTGTTTGTGGCCCGCGCTGGTACACATGGACAAATCAGCGGGCAACTTTCCGCGTGGATGATGACTTTTGCAGTGGAGTGCGTCCTGCATTGGGGTAGCATCGTTGGTTGCTTCCCCGTGGCTATCCGCAGATAAGTCGAAGTAGGTGGTGTGGTCGGGTCGGGGCTGAGCAGTGGTGTGGGGCATATGGTGTGAAGACATGACTCGAGATACATGGGGCATGAATGCGAGAGGTAGGACGGGGAGAGCAGGAAGGGGAGGATGAGGAGCATGGAGATGAGAGGCGGGGGCGGACAGGAGCAGGAGGGGACGAGGGGGGAAGGGGAGGAGGGGAAAGAGCAGGTTCTGGAGCTAAGGAGGCAGAGTCGGGGCCAGGAGATGCCGGGGGAGCAGCATCCCCTCCTTACTGGAGGGGATGGGGGACACGAGCAGCGGAGCAGGCGAGCGTGCAGGAGTGGCCCGTCTCAGGTGGCCATGGCCGACCTCGGCATGGAGGCCCCAGGCCACGGCGGCAAGGGCGTGGGGAGGAAGGGCGCGCCAGCCGAGTGGGGCCCCGATGCCCCGAGTTACGGCGGGCCGGGGTGCAGGGAACGCACGCGCGCGCCGTGCGGGCTCAGACCAGGCTGCCTCGGGTGGGCGGGAGGGGGCAAAAGGCGTGGCAGCGGGAGAGGGGGGAAAGGGAGGGCGGGAGAGGGGAAGGAGGGAAGGCAGGTGGGAAGGGAGAAGGAGAGGGGAGGGGGAGGGGAAGGAGAGGGATGGAAGGGAGAAGGAGGGAAGGGAGAAGGGGAAAGTGGGAAGCAGAAAGGGGTCGTGCAGGGAAGGAGAAGGAGGGAAAAGAGAGAAGGAGGAGGGAGTGGGAGGTGGCTGCAGGCAGGGCAGGAGGGAGAAATGCGCACCTTGTATGTGTGTGCGCGTGTGTGTGTGTGTGTGTGTGTGTGTGTGTGTGTGTGTGTGTGTGTGTGTGTGTGTGTGTGTGTGTGTGTGTGTGTGTGTGTGTGTGTGTGTGTGTGTGTGTGTGTGTGTGTGTGTGTGTGTGTGTGTGTGTGTGTGTGTGTGTGTGTGTGTGTGTGTGTGTGTGTGTGTGTTTGCGTGTGTTTGCGTGTGTGCTTGTGTGTGTTTGTGTGTGTGTGTGTTTTGTGTGTGTTTGTGTGTGTGTTTGTGTGTATGCGTGTGTGTGTGTTTGTGTGTGTGTGTGTTTGAGTGTGTTTGTGTGTGCTTGTGTGTTTGTGTGTGCGCGTGTTTTTGTGTGTGCTTGTGTGCTTGTGTGTGGCTTGTGTGTGTTCGTGAAAGTGTTTGTGTGTGCGTTTGTGTGTGCTTGTGTGTGTGGTTTTGTGTGTGTGTTTGTGTGAGAGTGTGTGTTTGTGTTTGTGCTTGTGCCTGTGTCTGTGTCTGTGTTTGTGTAAGTATATGTGTGTGTTTTTGTTGGGGGAGGGGGGGCGGGGGGGGCACTTGCACCACAGCGGTGGATAGTTTTCTGGATGTCGTCGAGCGGAGGGCCACAGCAGGGAACGGAGGCGCCAGCCACTTAGGTGGTCATGGCTGGCTGCCAGAGGGCCCCATGCAGCAGCGGCGGCTCCAGGCTACGTGGGCCGCCGCTCTTCTCGGCCTCCGATCTGGGGCTGTGTGGGCCGACTGCACGCGAATTCATGCAGGCACTTCGGGCACCCTCCCCGGAGGTGGGCCGTGCGCTCCGCGCTTGGCCAGCTCGGGTTTTTCTCTGCCGGGCATGAGAATAATGGAAAACACTTATCGGGGAAACGCAAGACCCGAGTAAGCGGGAACTCGGGTTTGCCGACGTTTTTTGGACGAGCGCGTCCTGGATTTTGACGGTCCAGTTTCCGTGGGATGTTTGCAGCGGGAGCTCGCGCCAATTTTCAGATTGGGCCTCGTCATTTTTATGATGGCCCCGTCGGGCCAACCCGAGTCCCCCGTACCCGAGTCTTACGTCTCCCCGAACTTAGGGGGGCACGGCGATGGAGGCACACGAGGAACATCACGTTCGCTATAGCCGCTACCGTCAATCCCGCGTAGCAAAGACGAGCGACTTTCCAGGTTTCCCCTGCATCCTCCGGCTTCGGCCCATCGTTGGCCGCTTTCGCTGACCGCGCCTCCGCTCGCAAGCTCTCAGCATGGCCTTCCAAGGCCCTTGCAACCTTATGCTGCGTCCTTGATACTATACGGTTTGAATGTAGGGTGGCATGGCGATGGAGGCGCACTAGAAGCATCGCGCTCACTGGCATGGCAAACCGAACTGCGCCATTGGTACGCCTGCGGGGTGGAGCTAGTATCCTTGGTATGAGGCTGGCTCGTACTTCGGACCAGCTAGCACAATTGCGTTTCTTGCCTTCGGGACAATGGGAGGCTGGAATCGGGAGGAGATTGCTGCCCTCGGCGGGAGGAAGAGGAGGACAGGAGGATATATTCCTAACTCCAAGTGTAGGAGGAAGGGGGGAGGACAAGCTTCAGTCACATGAAGCAAGGTATTTCCCACCCTTTTTGGAGCTCCTCTCCCGTCCTCCCCCCGGTGTCACTGGCAATTGAGCGGGGGAAGAAGCGGGAGGAAACTGTTCTGGCCACCTTGGGGGTCCCGTTCGTGGGTGCGGGCCCCATTTGGAGATTTTCGGGCCACGGCGGGGAGGGGGGAGAGGGAAACGAGGAGGGGAGGGGGGAGGAGGAAGCAGGGAGGATGAGGCAGGATTGGGGCGACGAGGGCGGCAGGGGCAAAGGCTGGCCGATTGCTTGTAAGAGCTGTGTACAATCACGCTCCTACAGAGCAGACGCGGCTCTCGTCCAAGGTGGCGCCCGCGGCAGCCGCGCCGCCGGGGGCGGCAAGGGCGGCAAGGACGGCGGCCAGCTGACGGAGGAGGTGAAGGTGCGCGCTGGCCCGGCCCGCCGGCCTGCCCCTCCCGCTCCCGGGCGGTGCGCGGGGTGCCCGTGTGGGCCCGCGGTGGCCCCGCAGGCGTCCCAGGGAGGCGTCGGGTGGGCCCCGGGACCGGGATGCAGTTAGATCCAGGGCGTCCCGACATGCTCTCCGAGCGCCCTGGGGCGCAATGGAGGGGCCGCGGCGACGCAGAGCTCCAGGGCGTGAAGGGGCAAGAGGAGGTGGCGAGGAGGGCAGGTGAGCAGGGGCTGGGGGCGGGGAGGGGGAAGGGCTTGTGGAGGGGCAGGGCGGGGGGAGGAGGGTGGCAAAAGGGGTGCGAGGGAGAAGGAGTGGACCCAATGGTTGTGGATAATCGGCGCTGAAGCAGTGTTCCCACTGTATAGAAGCATGGCACGCGGGAGAGCCATGATCACAGCTTGCGTCTGCGAGGCCACCAGACAGCGGAGGAATAACAATCATCCTCGCTCCTATTTGCTTCTCCGTCCATCCCCCTCCTTTTAGGAAAAAGCCAAGTATCCACCCTCCCCCGTATATATTATCATAGTATATACGCCTTCGTGTCAACATCCATTTTTTTTGTTGTGTTGCGCACTTTTACTTCGCAAGCGGACTGCCCGCAGGAGCGCGGGACCATAAAAAGAACACCCAGGAGAGCTCCAAAGAGCGTTCCACGAGGCGCTGCTTTTCAGCGCGAGCGACCACGCGGCAGCGACAGCCTCGCGACAGCGGCGCCCGCGACAAGTGCGACCAGCGCGGCCGCCCACGCACGCAACGCAATGCCAGAGCACATTTTCCGCCACAGATCAGTTTCTCCGTTATTCGCGACAGATGCACCGAACTACAACGTGACCGAATGGAAGAATCGATCACCGAGGAACCACCGCACATCCAGCCTCGGACACGCCGGCCGCCGGCGCGGGAGACGCCCTCGAGCAGCCGCTCCAACGACGGTGAGACGCACCGCGCCACGAGAAAGCAGCGCGCAGCCAGCGGAGACACGGGCAGAGCGGTCCGAGCGATCCAGGAAGCGACCCTCGCGGCAACAATCGCGCGCAGCCCGTCGGGGCGCGAGGGCCTCGGGCACATCGGCGGGACGAGGAGCAGCAGACGGCGCGCTCGTCACCTGCGCGACAGACAGGCGCGGCAGCGCGCGACGCGGCCGACAGTCCATTGCTGACAGTTTCGCGACAGCCTGCGGCGACCTGGAAGAAACGACGCCCACCTCGCAGACATGCCAGGCGACCACCGGCAAGAGCACGACGCACCGCCAGACGCAATCACACCATTCGCGCTCAATGGACGTGCAACAGCATTCCGGCAATTGCGGTCCAACAGAGCCACGGACTCAAGGATGGCAGTTGACGTTGAGATCGGGATGATCAGCGCTTGAATCCGCCCTCTTTGACACGCGCAACAGCATCGCCCAATTGGGCCCCCCTACGCCCGCGAGCTGGCGGCCCGCGGCCATCGAGGTTCTACGTGAACGCGGCGATCCAGCACGGCCGAAGAACTGCATGCGAATTGCGAGCATCCCGATGCCGCGCAAGGTCGTTTTGCGGCTTCTCTATAACCGATTGCATTGACAGTATCGCGCGCGCGAGTATGAGAGAGTCACTGGCAGAACAGAGCACTCCCAGACCATGCGCACAGATGTCGTCAAAACTCCACCAATAGCAGACAGCGTCAGTCGACGCAGACAGCTCCATCAGGCCGTTCGATATCCGACGAGGAACGACAGGGAGGTTCACTATGTTCCTTTCTTTGTTTTCTTATACAAGATACGTATCAGAGAGTTTGTTGAGGCGCGCCAAAGCAGCGTGGGCATCCGACAGCTACGGTCTCAAGTTCCAGCCACGCGGATGGCCGTCTCACCAACGTATGTTCCGCGGACGACATCTTCATACTCGCCAGGCCACTCAACCATCTCACAGGCATGCTCACAGAGGCGGGCAAGGCGCGCTTGGAATTGCACCCGGACAAGACATCCATCATGCACAACGGCCACCGACCATCACGTGGCAAGTTTGCCCCAGACTTTGTGCACGCGCTCGGCGTGAAGGTCGGGATTGTACTACCCTACTGCGGCGCGGAGTATCTAGGCGGGCATGTACAAAACAGCGCCACATGCTACTAAGCTGGAAGCCGCATCGCGACAGCATGGCGGAAGTTCCACGCGCTCAAAGGCGAGAGCTAACGGGGGCGACATATTCACGACTTGACCGGCGACGGCGCATAAGCGGCAACATCGCGCCGACGATGATGTGCGGCTGCGAAGCTTGGATTCTCGCGAGTGCGATAGAAAACCGATTGAGCCGACCGCAAGGGCAGATGCTTCGCATGATCGCACGATTTCCGAGACGCACCACAGCATTTGCAAATTCACAGCCAGCACAGCATTCGACCCAGACCAGTGCTGACAAACGACAAGACAGCAGCAGCCACCAACACGACGACGACAACACGGACGACAACGAAAGCACGACGTCAGACCACACGCCCACCACATTTCGACGCACGACGACGAAACAACGTTGGAGCCATGGGTACGAGGATGAAGCGTGCCACTCACGACGCAGAGGCTGTAATTTAGAGGCTCCGGATCAAAAGCTGGGCTTCCATTGTGTGGCAGCGGAAGTTGAACTGGTTTTCAACATTGGGTACAACAAGCGAACAATAATGAACCCGACAGTTGACCCATTGGACGCCGCAGCACGACATGGCAGATCATGCAAAGCGAAGGTTGGGACTCCAGAGACTAGATAGATCGGCGACGTCCGAAGCCACGCAGGGAGTCATATGGGTAATAAGTTTATGAATGTCAATGATTTGTTAAATGTTGTCACGACAGAGCTTTGGAACACAATCGAATATATTTCTCGATCGGGCCCCATGTTCTGACGCTCCGGCGCGCCGGTTCAGCACCCGCAACACCCCAAACGGTGTCCATGCGGGCGTGCTGCTCTCGCGCTTACGACGGTGAGACTAAGGAGGACGAGGACGATGTTGCTGTTGCCGATGATGATGACGATGGTGGTGGTGGTGAGGATGATGATGTTGGTGCTGATTATGATCGTGGTGGTGATGGGGTGGTGATGGTAGTGGTGAATGAGGATGAAGACGGTGATGGTGATGGTGTTGGCGAGGAGGAGGAGGAGGAAGAGAAGGAGGAGGAGGAAAACGAGGACTGACGGATCAGGAGGAAGGTGGCGGTGGAGAAAGTAGGACGATGGAGGAAGGAGGGTAAGGGCACAGGGGGAAAAATATAAGGAGGGACGGGGAGCATCAGGAAGAAGGCGGGTGGAACGAGGGAGACGATGCAGAGGGAGGACGGATGAGAGAGAGAGGAGAAAAACGAACGAAGAGGAGGAAAAAGGGGGAGGAAAGAGTACCGTGGCCGAGACCTGGCAGCGCGCCAGCCTCGAGAACACCAGGGTGTGGAGGCAGCACTGCGAGGAGCGTGGCGACGGCAGCTACGACCCCAGCGCGTACAGCGGGAGCCCCCCGCCGCCCTCTTGGCCCCTTGTGGTCATCCTCGTCGTAGTCCTCCTCCTCCTCCTCCTCCTCCTCCTCCTCCTCCTCCTCCTCCTCCTCCTCCTCCTCCTCCTCCTCCTCTCACAGGAGGGCGAGGTGAGACCACGGTAGCTGGCCTTCGGGGGGCACCTCCGTCGCCACGGCTTGACGCAGCTCGGACGAGTGGTGCGCTTGGACCCCGAGAGGGGTCCGGCGACGCATTCTGAGCGGCCGTCGTCTCAGCTCGACCCGCCCCGATGCCGATGCTCCCGGCCACTCCGCACTTCCTTCCCCTTGCAGTGCGTCGTCCTCGTCCCCGTCCTGAGTTTGGGCAGAGGCACGGCGAGCTCCAACTCATCAGCAGGCCAAAGGCGGCAGATCATATGTTCTCCCGTCGCCAGGGGTGCCTGTCCCAGGGCGGCTGGAAAGTCTGTACCCTGACGTGCCACCGTCAGGGTACTCCATATTTCGTAATAAAGGGAGGGGGGTCTCATTTCGGGGGGGGTCTCTTCCAGGCTATCTTGGAGGGCCTGGGGGGGTCTGGGGACGATGTTTTGGAGAGTTCTCCCACGGGGGAGGTCTGAAATGGCTTGTCTTGGAGGGTCCAGACCCCCTCCCTTTTATTACGAAATCTGGAGTATACACTTTATTAGATACTGCTCTTCGCCTGTCAAATCTCAAGCAGCGTCTGCAATGTTCTCTTCTTTGCTCCGCGCGGCTCTGAGCGTGCTTCCCGCCCGCAGTCCCCTCTCCGCAGCCGCCCTCTTCCTTTCCTCCGCTCTCTCGGTGCACAGTTCTCGGCATCGCTCGGACGTGTGCATCATCTCTCGGCGAGGACCCTCAAAGAGCAGCGAGCAGCCTGGATCATCCTGCCGAAGAAGCACGCACGAAACCGGCAAATACGCGGGGAATGGACGTCCGAGCGATGGCGAGACTATCTGCCCTGGTGTGGCCCAGTCTCGGCCCTCCCGCGCAGCGTGACCGCTGGCGCCGCTCCTCCTCCTCCTCCTCCTCCATCCTCCATCCTCCTTCTGTACGGTCGGACCGAGGTGCTGCAAGAACGCGGCTAGTTCGGGGAGGGTCAACAAGTGTTCTTCGCATTTTTGTTCGTATGTTCTTGTGCACCCTGGGGGAGGGCACCCTCGAACGTTCTTCAGTGTGGGCCAGCGGAGGGCCGCATGTTCTTGAAGGGTGTTCCTCTGTCCTAGGTCCGACCGTGGCCACTCTGGCTCAAGCCACTCTTGCGGCCCCCCCCTTGTTCTTCCTCTCGGCACATCCGCGCCCGGTCTCGAGTTGCGCGCTGATGTTGAACATCTCAACTTCGGGGCCCTCCTCTTCGTCGTGGACGGCGTTCCCTGGCCGTTCCCGAGCCAGCGGCTGTGACTGCAGGTGGTCGGCTGCCGCGCGTCGCAGAGTTGTGGCGTGCAGTGCTGGTGCTGGCCGCAGTTGCAGGCAGCTGCAGCACGGTGGTGGCCGCAGCTGCGGGCAGTTCTGCGTGCGTGCAGGCTGGCAGAACTCATCATCCTCCTGATGCCGCTGCCCCCGACGTTGCCTGTGCCACCCTTTGTGAGCAGTGCCAGGGCACTGCCTGGAAGCGTTCAAGACAGTGCTCGGGGACTGGTTTGAAGCGTTCAGAGTAGTGCCAGCGCATTGCTTTGAAGCGTTTCTGCGATTCCCTTACAGGGGCTTCGGGATTACCTGGCGAAAAACGAGTGGACAGGCAATCCATAGCAAACATATTTGCAGATTTTTACGCTGAGTTTTATACATATTTACAATCAGCTAGCGTGCCCATATAATGAGCTCGCCGATGTAATCCAGAATTTGCGTCCTGGACGTTGCACAGACAATTCTGGCATCGTGGCTGGCATGATCAAGGATGGTGGCGGTGCTTTGGTGCGAGCGTTTTTGAAATGATCCCATCTATTCTGGGCAATCCGGATTTCACGCTAGCGAAGTGGAAGAAATATGTAGTGTTTGCGATTTACAATTCAGGGTGCCCCAAGCTCCCAAGCAACTACAGGCCGATTACAATCATTCCCATATTGTGCAAGTTGTTCGCTCAGGTATCTCTCAGGGACTTGAAATTTCACTGAACCAATGTCAAGCGAAAGATCAGGGTGGTTTCTGGCGCGGGCCCAGCACAGTTGATCCTGTATGGGCGGCTTCTCTACTACAGGAAAAAACTTGGGAATGGAATCGAAGCTGATGGTTCGCAGCTTTGGATTTCGAAAAGGCCTCCGACAGCGTGGATCATAGTGCCATGCCGAGCGCTTTGAGGCGGCAAGGGGTGCCAGCCAGGCACATCACATTAGTATCACGCATGTGCGAAGGGCAAGCTGTTCAGGTCCAGACCGACCGACTAAGTAAATAATTGCAGTTGGAGCACGGCACGAAGCAGGGAGAGCCATTGAGCTCGTTGCTCTTCAACAAAACTCAAAGAGTAATGGTCCCGTCGTGGCTTGAGCGTCTACTGGGCTTCACAGAGATCACTTTACTATCAAACTTGCGGTTTGCGGGCGACGCGTTGCTCATTGCGACGCCGTACGTCAATTTGAAGCACATGCTATCCGACCTCATTACGTCCGCTTCTGCGAGGGGGCTGTCGTTCCACCCCGCCAAAACGAAGGCGCCCAGCAACCTGACGAAGAGGACACGGAGGATGTCGCGAAACTTGTTGGAAGTATGAGGGTTAGAGATCGAATTTGCACCTTTGAGTGGCAGCGTCAACTACCCCGGGCGGAAGCTCACTTTTGAAGATCCTGATGACGCTGAGCTGGACAGTAATGCTCCTGCTGGCTGCACATGGACGATCTCATTAAAAAATGAGTCCTTGCACGACCAGCGGAAGCTCTTTGACGCCGTGGTGAAGCCATCGGTAGCCCCCGGAGCAGCGACTTGGGCAATGACTTGTCCAATGCGAGGGAAATCGTTACGCTGCCAAAGACTGGATGTTGCGCATGATCTTTTGGATGGGAAGGAGACGAGCTTACGCAGGTGATCCGTTGAGCGATGCCCTTGATCTATGAGTGGGCCGGGTCAAACGATCCACGAGAGAAACATAATCAAACTTGGTCGAATTAAACATTGTTTCGTGGATCGCTGCGCAGAGGAAGATGAGCCATGCGCGGGCACAGCCGACACGGCAGCCGCCCCCGAAAACGCGGGCAATAATGATGACATAATGGGAGCCGCAACGTGCACTGAGGTCTCAAGGACGACCTAGGCGGCGAGAGCCAGATGAAATTCAGTGTTTCTTCGAATCAACAAGGTGTCCACGGAGCACGGTACAACAACGAAGGGATCGCAGAAGCATTTGCACTTGATTTCGCGCAGGTGAACGGCGCGCGAGGGTTGCGGCCCACGCGCCGTTCCCCGTGCGGGTCGGCTTCGTTGGCCGGACCTCTCGCCCCCCCCCCCCCCCCAGGAAGGCTTGGAGCTCGTGCCAAAATGGCTACGGCAGACAGAGGCAAGGGATCCACGGTGATGGCGCGGAAATTTGGAGCAAGGGCCAAGGAACAATCAGGAACGACGATGAAGAGAAAGGAGCACAACGAGAAGGAGGGCGAAGTGCGAAGAACCCGATCTTTGGAGGGGGGTCCTTCAGCCCTTCGTGCCCGAGCCCTCCACCCTCCACCGCGACTGTTTTTCAGCTTTTCAGCTCGTCGATCACGAGCCCTCCACCTCGAGCGTTCCCCGGCGGAGTATCTTCACGGAGCCCTTGGCCTTCGGTGACGGGGTTTATGCTTTCGGCCCGCGCGCCCGTGCCCACGTCTGATGACAGCGCGAGTGGAGGCGCCCGCAACAAGGGTGGCGCGATGGGGGATTGGTCTAACAAGGCAAAGAAGGGAGCTCTCGGAAGGCGGGGATGGGGGGCGCTATTTTTTTGAAGGTTTATGTTCTCGACCCGCGGTCCCGTGTCCATGCCTGACGACAGCGCGGGTGGAGGCGCCCACAACAGGGGTCGCGCGATGGGGAATTGCTCTGAGAAGGCAGAGAACGGGTTCTTGGAAGGCGGGAGCGTGGGGGGCTGTCGTTAGAAGGCCGATGCTCTCGACCCGCGTTCCAGCGCGAGCGAAGGCGCCCACAGCAAGGGCGGCGCGATCGGGGATGGGTCTAAGAAGGCGCGTGGTGGGCTCTTGGAAGGCGGGGGCGCCCTTGGGAGGGCCCGGCGGCTTCTCGGAAGCACCGGCAGACTGTAGTGGATGATGCAAAGCGTTGGCAACACGTCTCGCTTCTCTAGGAGCCCAAGATATAGAAACAGCGTTCGATGGTGTCAGGCATGTGGGTTTTATGATTGCATGCGCTGACGTAGTGTCTTGGAGGGCGTGCTGTTCGGCCTTTCGCCCCGGGGCTGGGTCCTGTGCGACCAGGCATTCCTGCGAACCGTCCTGCGAATGTCCTGGAAGACGGGGTTTTCGGCCTTTCGCGCCAGGGCACTGAGCTCCGCAAAAGAAGGCCTGCACACAATGACGCAGAGCCTTTCGGTTTGACAGGGCCCCTCGGGCGTGCCGAAAAGTATGTCAGAGCGCCTTCGGCGCCCGCGACATTTGCAACCGGGGGACCACGGGCTCTTCTTGCTGCTGTTCCTCCTCCTGCTCCTCCTCCTCCTCCTCCTCTTCCTCGTCCTCCTTCTCCTCTCCCTCCTCCTCCTCCTCCTCCTCCTCCTCCTCTTCCTCCTCCTCCTCCTCCTCCTCCTCCTCCTCCTCCTCCTCCTCCTCCTCCTCTCTCCTCCTCTCCTCCTCCTCCTCCTCCCCTCCTCCTCCTCCTTCTTTTCTTCCTCCTCCCCCTCCTCCTTCTTTTCTTCCTCCTCGCCCTCCTCAACCTCCCGCGCTGCGCGGCCGGCGGGCGCGCCCCCAACGCCAGGGCCTTCCTGCGAGCCTTCCTGGCGGAGGTGGCAGAGGGCGGCGGCGGGGCGCCGCGGCGGCAGCAGGCCCGGGCTGGCCGGCCAGAGAGTCCTTCCAGAGAGTTCCAAAGGGGGGTCCGAAGGGGGTTTTCGGGGAGGGGGTTTTCCAGGAGGGTTCCGAAGAGGAATTGGGGGAGGGGGTTTTCCAGAAGGTTTTTGGGGAGGCGGTTTATGGGGAGGGAGCGAGTCCTTCCAGAGGGTTCCGAAGGGGGTTTGGGGGGAGGGGGTTTTCCAGGAGGGGTCCCCCAGGGGCTTCGCACCCCCTGTTGTGACGAGGTTCCGAGGCCCCTGGGGGGCTCTCTGGAAAACCCCCTCCCCTCAAACCCCTTTTGGAACCCTCCGGTCCTTGGGACGACGACGACGACGACGACGACGACGACGACGACGACGACGATCGGACGATGCCTGGACGAGGATATATCTGTTCCAGAGCGTTATAGGCCGCTCTCGGAGCGTTCCGGAGCGCTCTGAGAAGGCCGCGGCGCCCGAGGCATCCTCCAGAGCCGCCGGATCTCAGAGATTCTCGATCAATCCTAGATTATCCTCGTCCTGGCCTCGTCTTGGGTCGCCATGGGTATGGGGCCGGAGGATCGCGCCGCATCGCCGATGCATCGGCGATGCGGCTCGACGAGGAGCTCGATGTTCTCCACGCTGACGGCGCCGATGCATCGACGACGTCGCTGGTGCATCGCCGATGCGTCGTTGATGCATCGACGGTGCAGTGCGATCCTCCGACCCCATCCGGAATTCTTCTACCTGGTGGTCTCTCATTGCTCTCGGCCCTCCAGCGCTCTTCCCGGGCCCCGGGGCTGCCAGAAGCAGCTCGGTCCCGGGGGAATCCCCGAGGTCCATGGATCCATCTGTCCCAGGGCCTTCTATCATTCATGCCATGATGGTCTCGTGGTGCTACTACGCCAAGCTTGCCGTGGCTCGCTGTGCTGTGTTTTTTTTCCGACGCTCCTGTGGAGATGGGTCCTCGTTTTGAATTCGCAGCGCCACGCTTCTCAGCCTCCTTCTTCTCCTCCTCCTCCTCTCCTCCTCCACTCCTTCTCCTCCTCCTCCTCCTCTTCCTCCTTCTCCTCCTCCTCGTCCTCGTCCTCGTCCTCGTCAGCATCATCATCGTGATACAAATTACGTACTTTCAATTACCACCTTGATCATTATCAGATTTTCGTCAAACCCCTCACACGTTTCGTGGCCCCGAGGGAGCTCCACCGAAGGCCCCAGTGGCAGCGTTCGCATATCGCCCCCGACCATTTCGGCACACCCCTTCACACGTGCCGTGGCCCCGAGGGAGCTCCACCGAAGGCCCCTGTGGCAGCGCGTTCGCACGCTGCTCCCCGATACGTTTTTGGCCCCCAGGGCCTCGGGAGCTCCACCGAGGGCCCCAGTGGCAGCGCGTTCGCACACCGCCCCCCGACCACTTCGGCACACCCCTTCACACTTTTCGTGGCCCCACGGGGAGCTCCACCGAAGGCCCGAGTGGCAGCGTCGGCACACCGCCCCCCGAAGGCCCCAGTGGCAGCGTTCGCGTACCACCCCCCGACCATGTCGGCAAACACCTCACATGTTTCGTGCCCCCGAGGGAGCTCCGAAGGCCCCAGTGGCAGCGTTGGCATACCGCCCCCCGACCAGTTCAACACACCTCTCACACGTTTCGTGGCCTCCAGGGAGCTCCACCGAAGGCCCTAGTGGCAGCGTTCGCACACCGCCCCGCGACCATTTGGGCACACCTTCGTACGTTTCGTGACCCCTAGGGAGCTCCACCGAAGGCCCCGGTGGCAGCGTTCGCATACCGCCCCCCGACCATTTCGGCACACCCCTCATACGTTGCGTGGCCCCCAGGGAGCTCCACCGAAGGCCCCAGTGGCAGTCCGTCCACGCGCCGGTCTTTGAAAGTAGGCAGTTTTGGGGCGTTGAGGTCCCAATCTGCGACAAGCGCCTTCCTACTTCAAGAAACGATCTGCTCTTGCTGTGTCTTGTTATTCTCTGGCAGGACCTGAACCCAATCTACTTGCTCCGCCTTCCTGCTTCATGTTTGTTACCTCGTTCTCCTGGCCGGCGTGTATTCGGCATGAGTTACTACCATCCTTTCTGCCCCGAGCGCGCCGCCGCCGCTTGCTCTCTCTCTCTCTCTCTCGCGCATTGCTCTCCACAGGCGTTCATGACTGGGCCGCTCCTGTGCCATTTCCGATCGGTGCGCTCCCGGTCCTTCAAAGATGTTGGCGTTCCCGCTGCAGCGCTGGTCCTATTCCAGAACCGGCGCTGTGCTTCCGTCGTTCCGAAAGGCTCGCCCGCCCCAGCACGCTCACACTTCTGGGTCGGAGGCTTCCCTCGTCGTCGCCATCTCCCTCCTTGCCTTGTCCTGCTCCGCCCTCCTCCGGTCCGCATGCCCCTCCTGCTCCCACCACGCACCCTGCCCCTGTTGTTGCTCTTCCGACGCCTCGGCATGGTTCCCACCTGCGCCTGCCGTGCTTGCGCTCACGGGACTCAGCGGCCCCACAGCGGCAAGGCTACCGCTGGGAGTCCAGAAAAGACGTGTTCGCAGAGCCACGTACATGAATGTCCCCAACACACACACACACACACACACGCACACACACACACACATACACACACACAATTTACGAGGCCGCCCTCAAGTTGGGAACGCTTGCGAGACGCGTTCTTTCGAGGGCCATGTGATTGTTCTTCACGCTTCACGTATCCCCACCAGCCTGCTGCCGCCCGACCTGTTTCTCGCCGCGGTCGCGATCAAAAAGTCTCCCCACCAGCCCTTCCAAAAACAAACACTCGGCGAGTCCCCGCAACCGGGGACATGTAGCAGCTAGCTGTGGAACAGAATGTGGACAGCCGTTGCTGTTGGAAAGAGAAAGAGGAAGGATGGCGAAACAAAGGAGGAGAAGGAGGAGGAGGAACAAGAAGACGAGGTGGCGGGAGGAGGAGGAGGAACAAGAAGACGAGGACGGGGAAGGAAGGAGGAAACGACGACGACGACGACGCGACGACGACGACGAAGACGGCGACGACGACGACGACGACGACGACGACGACGACGGGAGTCGACCATCCAGACCTTTGCGGGTCTCTCGCCTTAGGACCCGGGAGTTTCTTGGAAGCCGTTTGGGGTCATTGTGCAGCCTTCTTGGGGCCATCGTGGATTCTTTTTAGGCCATTGTGTAGTAATTTCGGAGGCCCTTGGGGTTATCTTAGCCCGCCCTCCGGGGGGTCTTGAGGTGAATCTTGAGACCATCTTGGCGGCCATCGATCAAAGAACGGTGTAGATTGTCTTTGCTTGCCACGCGATGTAGTTGGCGCGACCCTCCAAGTGTGAAGAGAGGAGGAGCACGGGAAGGGAGGAGGGAACGAGATGGGAATGGGGCAAGGGGGAGGGAGGGCATTTCCAGGACGGCAAGGATACGGAGAGGAGAGAGGAGCACGACGAGTGGCAGGCGGAGCCTACTGGCGGGCAGGATAGGGGGGACCGGGCGGGCGGACCCGGCGGACGGATCGGGCGAGTGGACCCGAGCGGGCGGGTCGGCACGGGGGGGGCCCCGGCGAGCGGGTCGGGGGGGCGGGGCGCCCAGGCGGGCGGGCGGGCGTCCGGGCGGGCGAAAAACGGCCGACCCCGGCGGGCAGGCGGGGCGGGCGGGTTCCGACGGCGTCCGTCGTCCGTCGTCCGTCGTCCGTCGTCGTCGTCGTCGTCGTCGTCGTCGTCGTCGTCGTCGTCGTCGTCGGTCGTCGGTCGTCGGTCGTCGGTCGTCGGTCGTCGGTCGTCGGTCGTCGGTCGTCGTCGTCGTCGTCGGGCGGGGCGCGAGGGCGGGCGGGCGGGCCTCCAAGCAGGCGGAGGGGCGGACCCCACGGGGGCGCCCGCGGGCCCCCAGTGCGCGCGGGTCGGGCGCGCGGAGGGCGGGAGCGAGCTGCCTGGTTCGTGCACGGGGGTGCCGGGCGAGGCCGCGAGGCCCCCGTGTGCACTGCGTGGAGGTTCCCGTGCGAGGGGGGTGGCTCCTGGGCGTCGAGGGCGCAGCGCCCCGAGCACACGATGGCCGACCCTGTCCCCTCCTCCTCCTCCTCCTCCTCCTCCTCCTCCTCCTCCTCCTCCTCCTCCTCCCCCTCCTCCTCCTCCTCCTCCTCCTCCTCCTCCTCCTCCTCCTCCTCCTCCTCCTCCTGAGCGGTTCCCGAGGCAGCCCGAGTGGAGCGGAGGTCGGGGGGGGGGTGAGAGCGAAGTGAAGCGGAGACCCCCTTTCACCGGGAAACCTGTTTCGGTGTCGTGTCGGTGTCGTGCGAGCGGGCGAGGCGAAGCTGCGTGGGCGGGCGGGACGAACGAACCCTCCTCTGGCTAGGGCGCCGCCGGGCCAAAAGACCGCCAACCTGGACTGTCTGGCTGTGGCTGGGGGTGTCCCGCCGTGGTGTCCCGATGGTCTACTGTGGTGTCCCGCGGTGTCCCGATGGTGTTCCGATGGTGTCTTGGTGCTGTCCCGACGGTTTCCAGTTGATTTCCCGATGGTGTCCCGATTTCCCAGTGGTGTCCAGATGGTGTCCTGGTGGTGTCCCGAGGTGTCCCGATTATTTACCGATGGTTTCGTGGTGGTCTCCCGATGGTTTCCCGTTGGTGTCCCGATGTTGTCACTGTGTCCCAGTGGTGTCCCGATGATGTCTTGGTGGCGTCGCGGTGGTGTCCTGATGGTCCGATGGTGTCCCGATGGTGTCCCATGGTGTCCCGCGATGTCCCGATGGTGTTCCAATGGTGTCGTGGCGGTGTCCTGATGGTTTCCCGTCAGTTTCCCGATGGTGTCATGGTGTCCCAGTGGTGTCCCGATGGTGTGCTGGTGGTGTCCCGATTGGTGTCCCGATTTGTGTCCCGATGCTGTCACGGTGGTTTCCTGATGGTGTCCCGATCGTGTCCCGATGGTGTCCCGGTGGTGTCCCCCTGGTCATCAGTTGGTTGCTCTCCCCGGCCACGACGGGTCAAAAGGCGGTCCTATAGGTATTGGGTATTGAGGACAGTTCGAATGTGAGCACGACTGCTGCTCCTGCGAAGCGCCCACGGTCGGAAAGCGGCGACAACGAGGCATAGTTTGAGCCCCGATTTGCCCGACAACTGCTCCCGGGGCCAGCCTTTTCAACCGAAAAGCAACTCAAAGCCAGCCTTGGGTGGAGGGAATCGGCAATCAACAATGACTATTTTTCAGAGTTGTGAGTTCAGCAAGAATTCTAGACGCTTCGCGTAACCCCATCAGCCCGTCCAGAAACGATGCCCAGACGACTGGCCTTAGTCAGCGATGTGGAGGAGCATGCAGTGAAAATAAGGGGCAGATAAGACGTCATACCCCAAGAGGGGAGGGATCGGAGAAGGAGAAGGAGGAGGAGGAGGACCAGGAGGAGGGAGGAGGAGGAGGAGCTGGAGGAGCTGGAGGAGGGGGGAGGAGGAGGGAGGAGGAGGAGGAGGAGGAGGAGGAGGAGGAGGAGGAGGAGGAGGAGGAGAGGGGAGGGGGGGGAGGAGGAGGAGGAGCTGGAGGAGCTGTGGAGGAGGGAGGAGGAGGAGGAGCAGGAGGAGGAGGAAGAGGGAGGAGGAGGAGGAGGAGGAGGAGGAGGAGGAGGAGGAGGGAGAAGGGAGAAGGGAGAAGGGAGGAGAATGTTGGAGGAGGGAGGAGGGTGGAGGGTCGAGGGAGCGGGGGCAGGAGGGAGGGAGGGAGGAGGAGGAGGAGGAGGAGGAGGAGAAGGAGGGAGGAGGAGGGAGAGGGAGAGGAGGAGCAGGAGGGGAGGGGGGAGGAGGGGGGGAGAATCTGACGCTCTGGCGGCAGCCCCGCCCCCCGCAAGCTGGCGGCCGGCCCCCGCCGAGGCGAGGGCGCCGCGCGGGCCCGGGCCGCGCTGGCAGGCCAGCGGCACCCGCCCCGCGGGCGCCCGCGTCCGCGCGCGGCGCGTCCGGGGGGCTGCTGCGCAGCACGCGTGGGCCCAGCAGTGGCGAAGCGTCCCGGCTGGCCTGCAGGCCCGCCAACGAGTGTCGGGGGCGGAAAAGAGGGGGGTGATAACCACGGGGGGGGTGGATATCATGGCGTGGGCCATGACATTTCCCCAGATTTCATGGCGCCTCTTCTTAATTCATTGCGTCCCTGGCCCCCCCGCTGGGCCGCGCACATGCCGCCGGTCATGATTTGCACCCCCCCTCTTGGACACCCCTCTCTTGGCCGCTCCCGAGAGTGCTCCAAGAGCCTTCGCTTGGCATCGCTTGGACGCGTGCATGCGTTTCGAGGACCGTCGAGGAGCCTCCTGGATCGTCGGGCAAGCAAGAAGCACGCACCACAACAACCACTGGCACGGGGCGTGGGCGCCCGAGCACTGGCGAGTTTTGTGGTTTGCACGAACTGTTCTGAGAACAGTTCTGGCTGAGACTGTCTCGGTTTCGTGCGTCGGGTTTACGTTCTAACTGAGGACATTTGCTGGCAGGCAGGTGGGACTGCCGGGACGGTCGGTCCCTGCAAAACCCGAAGGCCCCAATTTGCCCTCCCTTCCCAGTGGGGGGGGCGGGGAACATGGACAAAAACACGTATGAACCCGTAATTACCCCCCCCCGGATCCCCCCAATGCGAATTTTGTGTCTTCGGGTTGGGTTGGGGTGGCCTGCGACTGCGCCGCGCAGGCGAACCCTGCGAACCATGCGAACCGCGCGGGGCGGCCCTGCGAACCCTCCTCCTCCTCCTCCTCCGCCTCCTCCTCCTCCTCCTCCTCCGGCTGCTCTTGCTCCTCCTCCTGCTCCTGCTCCTCCTCCTCCTCCTCCTCCTCCTCGCCACTCCGTCCCTGGGACCAGTTTCGCTCCCTGTCGGCTTTCGATGGCCGTGGGGCGAGCGGCCCCCCAGGTGGCGGCGAGCAAGTGGGCACACAGTCCGGGGCTGTACAGACCTCGCTCTGGGCGTGCCATGGGGTAACGGACCCCTGGAGTCGAAGAAGAGACAACGCCATATGACATAAACGTAAGTCGGGCCTGTCCCTCTACAGGAGGAAAATTCAAAACTAGTATTAAACAAATGGGGAAACTATTTTTTACAAGCTATGTTTGAGCAGGTTTTGAATATGTTTGCAGTATTTCAAATGTTTCGTCCAAAGTCCGCCGGTAGGGGGACATGCCCGACCTAAACATAAACTTGTTGTGCTCCGCGCGGATTTCTTGGATCCGCGTTGGGCCCCCCCGGCGGCGCCACTGGCGCCGCCCCTGGCGCGCTTCGCGCGCCATGGAGGGGGGTCGAGCGCAGATCCACGAAATCCGCGCGGAGCGCCAACAGTGTATGTTTACGCAGTGGTTTTTTATCATTATGTGGACGCTGGAACTCTCGAGGCGTCTCCAAGCTCTGGCCCGGAGGGGCACCTTCACCTCAGGTCTCCTCGCTTGAGGTTGCTCGCTTGTGGCGCTGTCGCGGCGCCACGGTTTCTGGGGCTCGGGGGCAGGGGCCTGACGGCGTCCCCGACAACCCCAGGAGGCTGGAACCTGGGCACGATGGCCACCACCTGAGCCGAACAATCACCGCAGGACGCGGTGGCACGACAGCCTGCTAACGCCGCCGTCGGGGCATGCCCCGCACAGCAGCAACGTCAAACAACGCACCAGGGGAAGGATGGAGGGCAGGGTAGGAGCTGGAGAGTCGACCAGGCGTAAGAGTGACCTTTTGCCGGAGTGATCTTTGATGCGGGCCCAGTGGAGTCCCCCGATCGCCGAACGCGAAGCGGTAGCTGCGGCCTGCGCGCCCAGGTTGGCCCCCCCCCCCGCGCGGACCCCCCGAAAGCAGCGCACCCAATGCCGCTCTTGCCTCCAGAGGGTCGCTCTTGCATGTCGCGGGGGGGGGAGGAGGGGGCCGTGCCAGGGGCGAAGCGCGCCGCCTGTGGGCAAGCCGCGGTGCCTGAAGTGCAGGCCTCCTCTTCGATCGTCTTGGGGTCAAGCAAGCCGGGGCTGGACCTGAACGCTGTTCTGCTGGACTTCGGCTGTGCTTTGGTTTTTCGTTCTGGGAGGGAGGTATAGGAAAGCAGGTGGAGCAAAGCGAAAAACAAAACGAAAACAAAACGAAAAACAGCGCTTAGGTCCAGTCCTGCCCCACACCACCCCCCACTTCTCGCCCCCCCCCCCTCCCCCGCTCCCCCCTGGCAGGGATCAAGGGAAGGGGCTTTCCTTCGACCCTTGGGACTGGCGTCGACGACGACGACGACGACGACGACGACGACGACGACGAGAAGCAAAACGAAAACAAGACGAAAAACAATGTTCAGGTCCAGCCCTGAAGCAAACCACGCCGCCGGCCCCGCCGCGCCGCCAGGGGGCGTCCGCGCCGGCGCGCGCGCGCGCGCCCGCCCCCTGCCGCGCGCCAGGGCGCCAGCGGGGGCAGAGGCCCGCTCACGGACCAGGCCGGCCAGCATGGCAGGGGTGGCGGGAGGCGGCGTTTCCTCTTGCTCCTCCTCCTCCTCCTCCTTCTCCTCCTCCTCCTCCTCCTCCTCCTCCTCCTCCTCCTCCTCCCAGTGCAAACGGGGGTTCTTGCAGGATCCTGCGGGGCCAGGGTCGCACTGATCCAGACTTGAGTGCAGGATCCTGCAGGAGCTTGCGGAATCTTGCAGGATCCTGCACCCCTGACTGACCCAGGTTTGGATTGACCCGGGTCAGTAAATCCCCGAGGGAGGCAGCGTACGGTTGGGTCCCCCGCCAGGATAGTTTCATTTGTTCCGCTTTTTCGTCGTAAGTCCTCCATTGATGGCGCCATGACTGTTATTGACGCCCAGCCAGAATCTCCTAGCCGAGTTGCTTTGGCCGGTGAAGTGTAGGAGCAGATTGAAAACATATTCAAAGAGTGACAGACGGAGGACCACCGCCTGATAATATGCACATGCCGCCTTCTCCCATAGTGCTCGTCAAGTTGATGTGCCTTCCGCACGATCGCCGCGACGGCCGTCGGGGTTGTGGCTCCTCAGTTTTCCATGACGTAAGATAGGCGCGCAGAATTCTTGAGTCAATCATATCTAACTGCTGCTTGTTGAAGGCTGCCTTTGGGAGCGTTGTAGGAAGTCTTTGGGGCCCTCTTGAGGGGCGTTGGCCCTCCTGATCCGATCCATGAGGACATCGATCAAAAGTAGGGGGTCATAGACTGAGCCCCCCCTTCCGAGCCCGAAAACTCGTCTCTTGGGGCATTCTTGTGGTCCTCTTCTGGGCTTTGGAGGTTGTCCCGCTGGACACGGGCCAGGGCGCCCACATGAAGAACCCAAGAGCGCTCCAAGAGGGCCCCACGAGAGTTGCGAATCACCAACGCCACCCGTACCTGACGCCCCGCTGGTGGCAAGGTGCCCCCATGTGGACTCCTCGGGCCCCAGGACACCCCAACAGCGGCCCAAGAGATCCGCAGAACTCCCCCCCGAACAGAAGATCCTCAGCGGGGCCCCAGGAGCACCCCAGATCAGTTTCTCGAGGGACCCGGGAGGCCCCCCCAGTTCATCCTTATCCCCGCGACGGGCCAAGGCGGTTGCCGTGCGACGCTGAGAGCCACATCTACTCGAAAGGCGAGGGGGGGAACCTTTGCGACGCGGGGTCGCCGGACCAGGTAAGATTTTCCCGGAAGGGGAAGAAGGGGGTTTGCAGGAGCCGCCTCCGCGGATCCACCTGCGCCCAGAGGTTGTGGTTAGTATGCGGCTCATCATCCTGTCAGACTCCGGTTCTGCCTTCACCTCATTTTCATCTTCTTATTGCTCTTCCTCTCCTCCTCCTGCTCCTCCTCTTCCACCTCCTCCCCCCCCTCCACCTCCCCTCCCCCCCTCCTCCCCCTCCGCCTCCTCCTTCCCCTCCTCCACTTGCTCCTCTTCCTCCTCCTCGAACCCCTCCACCTTCTCCTCCTCCTCCTGCTCCTCCTCATCATCATCATCTTCCTCTCCTCCTCCCCTCCTCCGCCTCATCGTCCTCCTCCTTCTTCTCCTGCTCTTCCCTCTCCTCCTCCACCTCCTCCTCCTCCTCCTCCTCCTCCTTATCATCATCATCGTCATCATCATCAGCAGCATCATCATCATCAGCATCAGCATCAGCATCA